GGAACCGTGGTCTCAGTACTCCTCATTCCACTTCTCAGTACAGAGAAAAGACTGGAAGAACATAACTTCAAAACAGTAGCAGAGGGGCTGGACATGGAGCTTGCTGGTAGAGTGTGTGCCTAGCAGGTGTGAGGCCCCAGGTTCCACCTCCAGCACATGCAGAAAAAAATGTTAACAATGGTTATGTCTGAGAAGTTAGATGTTGACTAAATGGTATATATTTTTATCTGCCTTTTTCCATAGTAAAGATTTTAATTATCTAACAGTGAAACTTTAAAATACAAAATCTTGCTGGGCATGGTGGTACATACCTGTAATACCAGCAATCAGGAGAATGAGGCAGAAGGATCTTGAGTTTGAGGCCAGCCTGAGCTACATAGTGAGAGCTACATAAAATGTGAAGCCCTCCATTTAAACCCCAGTAGTGCCGAATTAAATAAATTAATTAATTAAAAAAAATCTTTGAGTCAGGTACCAGTGGCTCATGCTTGTAATCCTAGCTACTTGGGAGGCTCACATGAAAAGGATCATGGTTCGAGGCCAGCCCAGGCAAATAGTTTGTGAGACCCCCCATCTCCAAAATAACCAAAGCAAAATAGACTGGTGGTGTAGCTCAAGTGGTAGAGTGTCTACTTTGTAACCATGAAATCCTGAGTTCAAACCCCAGTTCTACCCCCCCCAAAAAAAACCCCAAAACCAAAAAACTTAGCTGTAGACTTGAGCAAGTCTCTCCCAGCCTGTTTCCTCACTTACAGAATGGCAATCATGCCTGTCTGTGGAGCTGCTGCTAGGACAGAATGAAATAATGAACAGGAAAGCACTTTGATGGTATAGGCTTAGAATATGCCAAAAATGCTAGGACCAGGGCTAGGGGGCATAACTCAGTGGCAGAGTGCTTGCCTAGACTATACAAGGCCCTGGGTTCTAACCCCAGCACTGTAGGGGGGGAAAGGTAGGAGCTATTACAATACAAAGTGGAAAGTAATAAAGCAAACATTTGTGTGCAGAGCAAACCTGTGTGGGAATGTGGTTTCATATTTTACTAGATTCTCTTTAGTGCCTCCCATTCTTTTCTTTCTAACATATATATGTTTGTGGTATTGGGGATGGAACCCAGGCCTTATGCATGCGAGGCAAGTGTTCTACCACTGAGCCACATCCTCAGTCCCGGTCCCAATATTTATGTGCTGGGGAAATAGTCTCTTTCATGCCATGGGTATAAATACTTGGGAGACTGATTTTGTCATAGTCTTTCACATGGGTAGATGGCACCTATAGTTTTTTTTTTTTCCTGGTGTTTCAGATTTCTTCTATGAAGCCAGTTACCAGACTCAGCCTTTTGTTTTTTGGTGTGCAGAAATTGATGAAAACTGATGATGTTTCATTCTCTATGCCACAGAGTATCCATCCGCCCAGCCCCACATCAGCCTCCTTGGTCATTCTTCTCAGGGTTGCCGCCCACCATCTCCCAGCTTCTGCCCTAAAGGACTGGATGCTTAGATTCAGGAGGGGTCAGGAGACAAAACAGCTGGGACCAACAGACTAGCAAGGAGACAGCTGGCAGAGGCTGGGAATCCACTATGTGATGACTGTCTAAAGCTAATCTAACTCTGGTGTGCAGGTGCTAGTTTCTCACTGTGTTGTTGTTTGGTTTTAGAATTATATAGAAACAGGGGAACACCTTCACAGACTGCTCCACACCAGGTGACTGTCCTGAGGAAAACTTATAGTGAGACATGGGAATCAGCTGGATTGCAATCCCCTCGATGCGCCCATCCAGAGGATTCTGATTCTGGGGTGAATCCTTTGACAGTCTTAAAGGTTGGATCCCTGGGTCAGTCACAGGGGGTATGGGAGTTTCTCACTGACTTCCTACACTCCAATGTGGTAAGTGGACGGAAAGGACTGTCATGCTGAGATTGGATTAGTAACTTCTCTGGTATGTGGGAACATGTGAGAACAGCTCCAGATCCTTCTCCAGGAAACAAACTCACTGTGTGGGGAGCAGTGTGTGCTTTGATACCTGTTTGACAACAAGATTCAACTCCTGAAGCAAACACAGGGCAGGTGCTCCACTTTACTCTTTCAGCAGCTTCCAAGAATTTGCTGCTTCTAACTGAAGTAAGTCATCAGCTGGCAGACCTGTAGGCATCTGAACTTGGCACTCAGGACTCACAGATGAACTTGAGGAAAAAAAGAACCACAAAGCAGTCTTTGTTTTGAAAAAGACACACCAAGGAGGAAATGGCCCTGCCAGGAATCTGATTAGTCTTAGACTTGTTGCAAAGGTATGGCAAACCTGAGTGATTGCACTGTCCCTTTGGTCCTCAGGTGTCTAAAATAACAGTAAGTCTCTGTGTGTCACTTGTCTGCCCTCCAAAGCTGGGCTTTTAGAAACACCTTTCTGTCCTACTTAAATTTACAGATTAACTAAGTAATGTTTAGTTCATAGTTTTGATGATTTTGATACATCATTCAAAGCAGATCCTTCTGGGCAAAATATCAGTGAGTGAAGGAGTTCTTTCTTTTTTTTAAAAGACGGGGGTCTCACTATGTAGCCCAGGCTGGCCTTGAATTTATAATCCTCCTGCCTCTACCTCCTGACTACTGAGATTACAGGTGTGTACCACCACATCTGGTTGAGTTCCCTCTATTCCACAGGGGGTCCAAACACAATGTCCATAGCCTGTACTTCCTTAGCATTAGTAAATTAACTTCTAATTCCTAAGAAGTTGGATTCTTTTTTTTTTTTTTTGCGGAACTAGGGTTTGAACTCAGGGCCTACACCTTGAGCCACTCCACCAGCCCTTTTTTATGATGGGTTTTTTTGAGATAGGGTCTCGCTGAATTATTTGCCCGGGGAACAGCTAGGATTACAAGGTGAGCCACCAGCACTGGGCTTTGTTGTTGTTGTTGTTTTTGAGTCTTGGGAAAGAATACAGGAAATATATCTTCCCAGACATCAGTTTCCTTCTCTGATAAATAGCAATGGAACAGCTTTTGACCTCCTTTAGAACCTGGATAGAGCCTCTTCCACTTTTTAAACCTCAGGGCTTAGCAGAGGGCTCACACAAAGTAGGCACCAGACAAATTTTTGCTAAATAAATGTTTTGTACTAAACATCCATGTATTTATTATTCCTTTGGCCCTCAGGATATCTCCATCCTGACAGCTGTTTGCACAGTTTCCTATTTGAACTGAGAACCACTCACTAATTGGAAGGTGTTGGTGGAACTAATTTTAAAGACCATCATGGGACATGTCCTGAAGATGGTGCTGTTTTTAACACTAGCTCTCCAGTTCTGATCCGTGGTGGGTACTTGGTAAACATTAATGAGGCTGGAGCTAAAGAGAGTGGGTGCTGGGGGAGAGAGAGAGAGAGAGATGGCAAAAGCCCCAACAGCACTCCTGAGGACAGTCTGACCCTGACCTTGTGGCAGAGAACCTGGTTCACTGGGAACGGAGGCTCATGCACACTGTGTCTGCTGTGCGCAAAAGATGCTGGGGAGTGGGGAGGAGAGAGAGGACATACAAAGATGATGCAGACACAGACACTGCAATGTCTGGAATTTTGGCGTGGCATTCTGCTTTACAATGTCTGAGCCCCAGATTCTCCATCTGAACAATGGAGATCAAAGTAGCCCTTAAAATTGCTGTGGAGATTAATGAAATGATGTAAGCAAAACAATCTAGCAAAGGCCAGGGAGCAGAAAATAAGTCTACATTATGTTTATCAGGTAAGATTCAGAGGATGACAGAAGTAATAAACTAATTCTGGTTGCCAGTGGCCTTAAGCAATTTTTTAAATGTTTTGAGTTTAGATTTTATTCTGTGCTACTATTTGGAGCTACTGAAGTGTTTTTGTGTTGAGCCAGAGTCTCCATGTGTAGCCCAGGCTAGTTCAGAACTCCTGTCTCAGCCTCGCAAATGCTGCGATTACAGACTCATGCCACCGTATCTGGTGAGGGTGAGGTTTATAAAAGGTTAGTATATATAAATGCTATAAAGTTTGTATCATCTGTCTAACTACAGATATACACATACAGAGAAACTCACGGATTGAGTAAAAAGTGGTGACATTCATGCCTGGTGTGATAGCACATGCCTGTAATCCAGTATTCAGGAAGGCAAAGCAGGAGGATTGGTGGGAACCTGGGCTACATAGTGAGTTCCACAGTGACACTCGGTCTTCAGAAAGCGAGGGAGAAAGAAAAAAAAGCGATGAAATTCATCTTGGACTGCTTGCTCCAGAATTACTCGCTACTCACTTTCACAGGAACTAGCGCTCACTTTTAAACATTCACTTCGGGTTACACTGGCTACAAAGTTGCCTTTTCGTGGCGGGATGGCGGCGGCGCTGTGGCCGGGGCAGCGGTGACCGGTCAGCGCACAGGCCGCAGAGTGGGGACGGCGGCCTCCTTCGGGGTGTGGCACAGGGGGCACCACCGGCTTCGTGGACGTGAACGCACTGGGAACGGAATGAGGGGGGCGGGGCAGGCGGGCAGGGGCCGACGCCGACCCCCAAAGTTTTGAGAATGATCCACCCGTGAAAATCCGCAACGCCATCCATGAACCTAACTTGGGAACCCGCGTGCAGTCCCGCGGTGGGAGTCCCCGGGACGACGGGCGCGAGCTGCAGGGCCGAGCGGGAACCACGCCCCGGGCGGAGTCGCCCCGGGCCTCGCCTTCCGCCTCCGCCTCCGCCTCCGCGGGCGCCGGGGGCTGCCGGCCGCGTTTCCAGGGAGAGTCCGGAGCCAGCCGAGGGTCTGGGTGGGCAGCGGCCCGGATCCTCACAGGAAGGTCACTGCGGCCTGGGCAGTTTTTCCCGTCATGCTCCTCCCGCAGGATTTCAAACCCTCGGCAACAACAACCTCCCCGCCCTGGCCCCCGGGCTGCCCCAGCAACAGGCGGCGGCCCGCCTCTCATTGGCCGCGCTCCGCGCCGCCGCGTTCTGATTGGACGCGGAGCCCCCGGCCCCGCTTCTGCGCTCGCCGCCACCTCCATTTTGTTGGTAGAGGCAGGAGGAGGTCGGTTCGGAGACGCCAAGGTGGTCAGCAGCTAGCTAGTCGGTGCTCGCGGGCTGTGTTTGTTTCGTGCCTCGTCTCTCCCTGGAAAGGGAGGGAGGCTTCGACGTCGAAAAGGGAGCCGCTGCCGCAGTCCGAGCTCGAAGTCGGTGAGTGGCGGCACGGCAGACGCGGCCATGTTGGCGCTGCGTTCCCCATTGTGGGGGAAGGCGGCGAGGCGAGCCGGGGAGCCGGGCTCGCGGGGGTGGGCAGGGCAGGACCCGCCCGCAGCCAGGCCCTGGCGGAGGTGGCGAGACTTGGGGCTCGCGTGGGGGAGAGGCTGGATCCGGTCGCGTGCTAGTTCAGGCTGGGCGGCGGGCGCCGGGCGTGGGAAAGCCCCCGGGGGAAGACTCGCGTCAGTCCCAGGGACTTCCCGGGATGGCTACAAACGCTGTCGCCTCCAGATAAAAAACAAAACTTGTGGGACTTGCAGATACCCCTCCCAAACCCTCGAGTCCCGCGAGGACTCCTTAGGACGGCAGTCGTGAGGTCAAAGCGAGCCATGTCGGGACCCCTCATCTGTCGCAGGTCTACAGGGTCGCTCCTTCCCGCGGTGTTGCAGAGTTAAGAAGGCATTTTTACTTTTCTAGCTAGGACTTCTCTCAAACGTACGTGCTGAGGACACTCAGATGTTGGCCTCAGCTCCTAGGCTGAACCCTGCAGATTGGCCCATGAAAACTTCTGAATTGAGACAAAGGAAGGGATCCGTCAGAAAGCAACGCCTGTTATCCTGGGCTTGGCAGCAAGGAAGAGGACGGGAAGTGGAAATCCTGCAATCTGAAAAGCAGACTGAAAGGTACAGAACCTCACATCATACCGGGGGAACGTTTACACTCAGATTTCTGGGTGAGCTCCATTTTTCTTAGGTAATAAATATAGGCTTGCTTTAGCTTTTTGAGTTAAAGCGACTGAACATTGACCTAAGTCTTCCCCAAGATTTCTGACGATAGAAGTTGGAGCTGCAGAAGCTTAATTTTTGAGTTTCTTAATGGAATTTTACTCAACATTTGTTTGCATTTACTTACAGGTGACAAAGAAGCTGAAGATGGGTGGTGGAGAGAGGTATAACATTCCAACCCCTCAATCTAGAAATGTTAGTAAGAACCAACAACAGCTTAATAGACAGAAGACCTTGGATCAGAATTCCCAGATGAAGATTGTTCATAAGAAAAAAGAAAGAGGACACGGTTATAACTCAGCAGCAGCTGCATGGCAGGCCATGCAAAATGGGGGGAAGAACAAAAATTTTCCAAGTAGTCCAAATTGGAACTCTAACTTATCAAGTCCTAGCTTGCTTTTTAAATCTCAAGCCAATCAGAATTATGCTGGAGCCAAATTTAGTGAGCCACCATCACCAAGTGTTCTTCCCAAACCACCAAGCCACTGGGTTCCCGATTCCTTTAATCCTTCAGATAAGGAAATAATGACATTTCAACTTAAAACCTTACTTAAAGTACAAGTCAAGTAACTAATGTTTAAATTTAGTTATGTTTACAAATGGTGGTCATTTAGTCTGAAACATTCACTAGAGAATTAATCTGTAAAATTGGTAATGTAAAAATATAATCAGACTGTATCATTTGTTTTATGTGCTGTGTGCACTGTGATAGTATCAGTGCAACCTAACTAAGTAATTGTACTTGGTAGTTAACTGAATAACTTGAGACACCTGAAGTTTAGATTTGGGGAATGGTAAAGGAATCAGCTTTTTCTTTTGTCTGTTGGGGGGAATAATTTAAGATTCATGGCGTTGGTCAGTACATTTACTTCCAGTCAATCAGGTTATAATCATCTAGCTAAAACATACAAGGATTGAAAACTAGGGGTTGAACATTTTAAAATTTAAGGACACCCAAACCAGTAACATGCCAACACCTAATGCACTGCCAGAAGAAAATGTGAATTTTTCTTAACTGCATTTTACAAAACTGTGTGGTTGTGAATGTGTAATGGGCATTTGGGGCTTACTAGAATGAGGCACAGAATACCCAGTGGTCCTGTTTTCTTAAATGCAGTGACTAGGCATCTGTCAACAGATGTACCAAAACTTTTTCCCTCAGAAATAGTATTAAAAGATCACTCAATAGCTTTCAAAGAACATTCCTGTATTATCGCACTGACAGTGATCTGGCCTCATTCGTCCCTGCAAAGTTTGCAAGTATGGAGTTGTACAATGTGAAGGTTTTAAGTTCCTAAGGAAGAAAGAGCCATGTAAATACATATAGTAAACTTGTAGCATATGTAAAGTTTTCTTGGCCTTTATCTTACAGAAATAGACTATTTTAGTAAATGAATTTGCAGAATGTATGACCATGGACTTTTTATACTATGGCCTAATTTTAAAGGTCCCTAATTGTATTTAAAGTTTGCCCTTGTGCTAAAGTGCCAGTGTATGTATGTTATAAATGATTTGGTTGTAAACTATTTCAAAGTAAAGTGTAATATGCTTCTATTATAACTAAAAAGGTTAAGCTGCTAAAACATTTCCTATTTTAAAGAGATGTAAATGCAGTACAAGATCATTCCCACAACCCCCATCTTTAAACCCAAAGATTCATTTTGGCTTTCACCAGTTCTTGTAACTATGTTTGGTGCCAGGCCAGTGACTTTTTTTTTTGGTCAGGACTAAGTGCAACCCAGGGGGACCATTTATGCATCAGATGTAGTTTCTTGCATTGACACCTCAAAGCATGTTTTTACCAACTTGAGGGGTAAACACCAAACAGTTAATCCAGCAAGTCAGAAAAATGTGCGTCAATTTAAAAATCCTAATAGCTAGTATCTTCTCTAATTTGGCACCTTTTTTTTTTTTTGGTATTTATAAGCAAGACAGCTAAGTTCTATTTCACCAAATAAATTCAGCTGAATTAGTATTACCCAAGTCAAATAATGAATATCCTAAAGGACAAATAATGTATATGATTTGAATTTGAAATATGAAAATTAAAAAAATTTTTTCCCAAGAGGATTGTTTTTATTTAAATAACTGTTATGACTGCCTCATCTTTATTCTTAGAATGTACATAATTAAATGTGCTAGGACTGTTGGCTGGAAAAGAGGCTACTAATCTGCTATTTGATTAGTTTGACAGCTGTAATTAAGGATGATGTAGAACTCTTCTTTCCCTTCAGTGTTAACAGTTTATATATATATATATAGCCACATTCTTTTCTGTACTGTAATTTGACTAGAATTAATTCTCCTACATACTAGTATTTGAACTCCCACTGACCTGTACTATTTCTAGTTTGGTACTGACAAGCAAACTGGTAAATGTTCAGAGAATGGACGCTGAAAGTAGAAAAGGGATTTGTAAGGGCAACCTGAGTATTTGGTCAGTGATCATATGGGCATCTCATACCTCAGAAAGACATTAATAAAGTTGTGATAATCCTTCAGAAAGTGATGAAGGGATCAAAAAATGGTAGATACAACCTATTGTGTAGGGCTGCTTTAGAAATACACAAACAGCAGCCATACTGTGAGCCTTCCTTAGCAAGAATGTGGGGGTTTGGGGGGAAGACAGACGGGAATGGCCAACAGAATGGACCCAAGAGAGATTTTGGGTAAGCTGCAAGCTTTTCCCAGTAAAAGTTGTGCTGTCCGTTTTAAACAGAGATGGAATACATCTCTAAGGCCTCTTACACAGATGAGGTACAAAAAGTCCACTGGGGTAGTTACATCTGAAAGAGCAAAATCTGAAGAAAACCAAGATTTTTTTTTTTTGTCTCCTAGACCAGTTTATTATTTCACTCTCAGCATTCAAAGAAATGTGATCTGCAGAAAACTAGATTACAAAGGCCTTTTACTTCTTTACAAACTACTGTCAATTATCAATGAATTTACATGCCTCATTTTTTATTCCAAAAAAGTCCATTCTTGTAACAAGGATGAAATGGCTTTACAAATACACAAACATTATAATAACCAACACTGTTTGTTAGAGGAAGAGGCAAAGGAAAAGACCCAACAGGAGTCATTTTCCATAATGACTAGCAAAATGTCTTCTAGATGTCAACAGCTGAAGACAAAAAGGATCCTTACTACCACCTATTTATCAAGCCATCACTATAAAAATTGAGAACTTAGCAGTTCTGGGACTCCTAAAACCTTTATGATCCACCAGATTCCTGACTATTGCTCAAATCCCAGCTTTCCCATGTCAAAATATCTTAGGACTTTGTAAACAGGAACATGGTCAAAATGCATTACAAAAATCTCTAGTTGAAATTTGGAAAGCCAGGCTGGAATTAGTTTGTGAGCCACAACTGCCTGAAAGATCTTGGGTTACACAATCTCTTTCTCATCCAGAAAAGCAACCCATTATGTTACAAAGTAGTGAGGAATGAAATAGTGCATGAAAAAAGCCTTTCTCAAGGCAAGTATTCCATAAAGGACAACTTTCTCATCTGTCAAATGGAAGAATACCCATTTCCCAGAAGTGTTTTTAAGATTTAAGTAGGAGTTTCTGAAAAGCATTTGGCTTGGCACATTAAGTGCTTAGTAATATTAACAGCCTTCAATATACATGGAAACAACCACAGCTAGACTAACAATTCATTGTAACTGAACAGCTGCCAAAACCACATGGGCCCTTTCTGATTTACCACATTTAAAACTTTTAGAACTGTTAAGTATTGTTACTGTACTTATAAATGAACAAAGTATTTTCCAGCAAAAATAAAATCAAAACACTATTCACCATTAAAAAAATCTCATCCAAATATGCAACTTAATTCTCCTCTCTGGAACATGTTAACCTCAATTCAAACAGAAATGCAGAAGGGAGATAGAGGACGAACCATCTCTGAACCACACAGATACTGTTCTTAAAAATACACAAAACCACACCTCTACCTGCAAGAACCATCAATTCAATGCTAATGATTATATAAAAGTATAAGATACATTTTGTAATTAAATCTATAATCTTTGCTCTAAACTCTAGATTCCATTATATCAATTTTTATTATCTCCTTGAAAATAAAGCTTCTAAAAGCGTTTCCCAACTTGGTTAAAAAAAAAAAAAAAAAAAAATCAAGCCAAAATGTATAGTTTCTAATCTGGTATCTGCCACTTGTGTGATCTTGGGCAGGTCAAAAGCTTTTTTAAACAGATACAAGTACCTCCATTTTGCAACTCCCTTCAGTTATGTGCATTCTACATTTTCAAAATTATGAATCAAAGATTTACACATCATTTCCAGATTTTTAGATGAATTCCTTTACATAAAGCTTTAAGTATGTGGCAAAAATACAACAAAAATAAAATGTGATTGAATCAATATATGATAAACTTCATATCCTAATAAGGAACTAAGGAATCCAAAACATTTTGTGACACTATAAAAGTTATTTATTCACTATACAGAATATGCCCTCTATAAGACGTACATGTAAATCACTATGAAGTATAATTTGGTGAACATTTTCTCAATTACAGAATATACTAAATCAGTTGGGTAACAGCTGTCTGCCTCAAAATAATCTAAGTATAGCACCCAGGGTGTCTCCTTTATATCTAACGCAAAGTTAAATATTTATTTGGGGGATTCTTTTCTAACGTGTTTGAGGCAGAGTTAACAATTTAATACAACTCTATCATACAGTCACTGCACAATAAATCAGTTTATTACAGATTAAATAACTTTTTCATTATTTGTATTACCTATTCTTCTCCCCAATTATCCGTGAAATGTTTTGCCCACAGTAAGGGCTCAATAAATATTTTCTGAATATACTGACTAGGAAAGAGGTGAAAAGAGATGGACCTCTCAGCTGGGTGTCAAGTATAACTGGAATTTACCTGGGAAAGAGAGTGGTTCATGTAAACTGCATGTGGTATACGAGCAAATAAACTCAGATGCCAACAAAGCAAACAATTAAGCAGAGAATACTGGCACCGGAATAACAAGGCAAGACTTGCCAATAATAGCATAAGTGGAACTGACTTTTAGAGATAACCAAGAAAGTTTATATTGGACATACCTTCTCCAATTTCAGACAGACCCAATAGAGCACCGTAAGAAACTATGGCTGTCTTCCTTAATACTCACATATCCTATTAGTTTCCAATAATTTATCATGGATATTACCCATGAATCAGTATAAACCTGTTCATATTTAGGGATTAGTTTCCACAAGTACAAAGTTGAATTTCCTTTTATTTGTCCTAAAATGCTTACTTTCAAACGTGAAGGGACTTCAATTATTCCATGTAGTTTTCGATAATTCTTTTATCTTTTCAGACCAGAGTCAAAATATTCGTACAGTATTCATACTGCAGCACCTTCCACCCACCCTTTGGTCGCTTGAACTGCCCTTCTTTGGTTCTTTTTCCGCTTTCAGATCTTTCTTGAAGTGTAGTAAGCAGAACTGTACTGGGTATTCCAGCTGCAGTTTGGTCTTAAATAAAAGAAGGATGTTTGTCAGTTTGGTTTTCTTTATTCTTCTCTGTGGTATACAGGATTTTGTTAGTTGACTGGATGTAGCAGCTTACTGGGCCAAATTGTCAAGAGAATAGTACAGTAGTTCCCAGGTCTTTCCCCTAGGCTGTAACTTAACAGCTCAAACTCTATGTAGCACCTGTCCTTTCTCACTGAAGCATTTATCTCTTACTTTTCTTCTTGCTTACTTGGCTTTAAAAAAAAAAAAAAAATGCAGAGTGAGCTTAAGTAAAAAGAGAGGCAAAGTGTCAGCCTTCACTTGAATGTCGACATGACTACTCTGTAGAATAGAGCCCAGTGCCAGACACACAGTACATTCTAAATTGTGAAACTCAAATCTAAAATTACCTTAAAACACAGTACAGAGATCCTCACCAAGTATCAGTAGGATCCTTACCACCATGAGTTCAACTAGTCCTTGTGAAGCTACATCATTTTTAGAAACAATATATAAGCTTCTCAAGTCTGAGAGCTAAAAATAAACTGACAAAGTAAAAACAAAAACATTAGGCCTTCTAGTTCTACAGAGACTGAGAACAATTTCACTGGGCTATCTCCTCAATCTACTCTCAAATTATAATCCATTAAAAAAAAATCTAAGGACCATATCTAGGTTCAAATCTTGGCTATACGATTTACAGTCCCCCCTTTGGTGCCTCAGTTTTCTTATCTGTGGTAAGGGGCTAAAAATGAAGCATCATCCTTACAGGGTTTTGTGAAGAACAAATGAGTCAACAACACAGCCGCTTGAACAGTGTCTGGCACATTGTAAACTAATCAGCTATAACTGTTAACTATGAAATAGCTAGAATTTACAGAGGGCCTCAACCACTCCCCCAAAGTGGTCATCGTCACTTAATAAATGCTCACCTGGATTCAATGAAAAAGAATTTCAAATGTATCTTGTTTAGGAAGGGGGCGAGCAGAATTACTGACTTATCTAATAATGAAAAGTATAAATTTGTAATTAGCTGGCTCAAATTTCGATTTAATGTATCTTAACACTACTGAAAAACCTCTGAAGAGAGGCTAAATGAGGAATTGTGAAATAACTTTGACATAAGGAACTAAGTACTATGTAAAAGATGGAGATTTCTGGCAGGTTGTATCATTTCCAAAGTTAGTTGTGCCTAATGCAACATTGATTAAAAATATTCCTAAATCTATAAGGGATTATTTCCATTGTTATTTTAGACTCATATTCAATACTATAATAATTCCAGTTAATCATTATTTCCTTCATTTTGTTTTTATTATAGCATGTTTGCTTAATTTACAGCAAGCAGAAAATAAGCTGGGTCTTGTTTTGATCCAAACATTGATGTCTTAAAGGTCGTACACAATATTTGTTAAAAAGAACATATAAAAATACCTTTTTAGAAGCTTCTATAAGAAAGAAAATACAAAGTTTAACCCCACAACTTTCCTCTTTGCTAGAACTGCAAACTACTGCTACAGTTTTAAATAGACTTTGTTGTTTAAACTATACATCCAGGAAAATCTAAAAAAATTAAAGAAACGTGCATATAAATGATTGCATAGCAGAACATGAACATTAACTGCAAACAGTAAAGAAATGAAAGTTAGAAACACTATCAAATATACAAAGGTTCTAGAATCGATCCTTTAAACACATTCCACAAACAGTATTAAAAACCATCTTTGTTCTTTACAGGCAAGGCCTAGACTTCTAAAATCAAAATTAAAAAAAAAAGTAATCCTCTAAAAGGAATCATTTTCCCATAGTATTTCTTACTTATATCTCCAAGCAGTCTGAGATTTTTAAAGATGCTGCCTTTTTATTCTGAAATGAGACTGGACATTTCAAGTCACTTTTTATTACCTCCCGAACGTTCTGAGAAATACTAGAAATTATAATTAAGGGTATTACTTCCTCGTTTTTAGTCAAGTACTACGGTACTACGTTGATAATCAAAAACTAAGAGATGTGGCTCTTGCTTAAAACTAATCCTTTATCCAAAATTACTTTAAATTTCATGGCACCACAGAATCATCAAGGATGGGAGTGTTATCTTTCAATTTGCCTCACATTAAATAAACTGAGGTGTAAAGAGCAAGCCCCCCTCAAAAAGAGGTAGGCAAATTTTGATACAAATGCACATGCCAAGTGCTGTAAGCATCAAAATTCATTTTTTTACACTATGCACAAACACAAAATCTATTTTGGAACAATTTACTAATGCTTCTAACAGCAAGAAAACTAAGTAACAATGGTCAACAATGCTCCTTAAATTTTAGAGTAACTTTATGTAAGAACATTCTTTTCCCCTTAAAATTATTTCCGTCATCACTGACATGTTCAAGTTTTAAGGGGAGTTTTTCTGATGTTTTTATATTCCAAATCTTAGAACAGAAAAAAAAAGTAGTGAAGGCTCCATGTTTCAGTAAAGTACTCACTCTTCCTCAGAATGCTACCTAACCCAGTTGGCATCATTCCCCAAGACAGTGGGGTTAAGAAAAGAACTAGTCCACACTGCATCATAAATAAACTGTTATCATGGGCCTAGTTATCTTGACAAGACATAGAGGTCCACCCTGAACCTACATGTGTCTGAGCAGTAAGTGTGGTAATGTGGCTACAACCTCACTTTTGTATCATTCTATCTTATCAGCAAGCTACATTTCTAGGTTAACAGTTCTATCAAATATGAAAATTTATCTTTAATAAGACAATGTTGCAAATTATGGTCAACCAACATCTTTTCACCAGATAATTCAAGCATAAAAAATGAGAATCTTTACAAAAATATACAGAGACACCACAAATTGGTAGCTGCCCATAACATTAAACAAACTGGACTCTTAAGAGTGGCTTCTCAACAGCATATCATTTTAATATAACCATTGCCTGGTACAGGGAAAACTAACAAGTGTTTTTACGCATCATTGCAACATTGTATTCCTGATAATTTAAGTATACCAAACTATGAGTAAATGAATGATACATGCCTAGAAAGTATCATAGTTTATACTATCAGTGGCCACTGGACTTAGGACTAGTCCAAGACCTTGATCTAGATTTTGACCTAGACCTAGACTGTGATCTTGACTGAGATTTGGATCTAGGTGGTTCTTTTTTCCTTGATTCCTTTTCATATCTTGAGCCAGACTTATAATGTGTTTTGGAATCTGTTTTAGAGGTGCCTCTAGTTTTGGTGTGAGATGCAGACCTAGACCGTGATTTAGCCTTCATTTCTTTCTTGGGCTGGGACTTGGACCGTGATCTTGAATTGGATTTAGATCTTGAAAAAGATCGATTTCGGTGTTTGAATCTTTCAAAACAGAGGAGAGATACAATTAGAGTAAAAATTAGATTCTATATTAATCAAATTTGTTATTTTTAGAGCAAAAGTTCACTCTGAAATTGAAAAACATACAAGTCTTTTTCAAAGCAAAGTTATTTACCTATCATTGTCGGAATGGCTTCTGCTACGCCGTGGTCTTCCAGTCGGTCTACTGCTAAAAAGCATATCAGAAAAAGCAAACAGTGACAAATGTCTATAAAGAGTCTTAAAACTCTTTAAATGAAACAATAAAATATTTTTGATCTCAGTGAAGCACTGAACATATATAAGTAAAAGTAAACAAAAAGGTAAAAAAATTAAATGCTAACAAACACATCTTTTTTGAGACTGGGTCTGTATTGCCCAGGCTAGCCTCAAACTCCTGGACTCATGTAGTCCTCCCAACTCAGATGTCTGAATGGTTGGGACTACAGGCATACACCACCACACCTGCCCAGTTAAAAACAAAAAACAGGTCATTGTATATCACACTTACTTTCTAGGACTATAAGATCTTCTATAGTTGTAATCAAAAGACCGACTTCTTGATCGCCTCCTTTCGTAACTTCGGCTTCTAGAACGTCTGTATCTGTCATAATCATCATAGCGTGAAGAGCTATACACATTCCTCCCTTCCTTGGCTTTCATTTGGTTTGGTGCTAAGAAATATATAGAAGAGAAATACTTAGAAACAAAAAACTTCAAATTATAAGAAAACACTCTAATATCCCTTTCTCTTATACAAAGGAAAATAAAGTATTTTAGAATCTGTTTTAGAGAGGTGTCCAGTTTTGGTGTGAGATGCAGACCTAGAATGTGATTAATCTTCCTTCCTTGGATGAGGTCAAGGTCATGGAATATTAATCTTAGAAATGATTATTTCCTAGGATGCGTATTGGGAGACTAAACTAACATTCCCAACTGTTTTTTCAATGCCGCCTCACAATTTAGCTTCTTTGATTCCTTTTTTTTTTTTTTTTTTTTTTTGCGGTACTTGGGTTTGAACTCAGGGCCTTGAACTTGCTAGGCAAGAACTCTATTGCTTGAGCTACCCCTTCAGCCCACAATGTAGCTTCTTGACTAACATCTGCCACTACTTTTGACTATAGGAATTTATACCACTGAAGTATATGAAATTCTAAATTTGGTGTATGAACAAATGTGTAGCACCAAAATGCAGTAATATAAAAACACCCAGGAACCCAATACCCATTTCAAGAACTAGAGAATTACCAAGTTTGTGTCTACCTACATGCTCTTTCTTCAGCAGCTGTTTTAATTTCTCTCTTTCAGTACCTCACCCCAGGTTACATAACAGGAACCTTTTTAGTCTTGTAGAGATGTATAAACTGTGTACTTCTGAGGAAGAACTCTCAAAACATTTGTCTAAAAATTAGGCATGAAAGTACTTACTTTTTCGATCCCCCTGTGCAAACTGTATCTCAATCTGACGTCCACAAATCCATTTTCTGTCCAAATTATGTAAAGCATCTTCAGCATCACGAACATCCTCAAATGTGCTAAATGTTAAGGGGCTTGGGAAGTTTTATAAACTTTGATAATGAAAGTTCAGTTGGTAAGTCTGAACAGTTCACAATCTCCAAGAATTGTTCTAGAAAGTCAACCAGACCCTACTTACTACTTGGTTGATTCAGCCATTAATAATAAAGCCTAATTTGTGATTTCCTAAGGCATACATTTTAGAAAACACACGTGAAAACATGTTGTAGGTAAGATTTGTTATAGCTGAACCACCAAGTTATCCTACTAAAAATCTCCCCCAAGTTTTGAGAATTAACTTTATAAAACAAGACAGAAAAGAAAAAAATTGGTTGATTCTATGTCGGGCACTAAAACAGTAATTTCTTAAAATAAAACCAAATACTGTTGTCATGTTTTAAATGAAAAAAGAGAACGCCAATAGTTCTTGTGTAAGCAAGCAAAATATGCCTTACCTTACAAAAGACGAAAGTATTAATTTCAAATTTTTTTTTCAGATATAGCTAGTAACTATTGTTTTATGTAGTTGTCTTCCTTGCCCTATGCAGGGAAGACAGGCATGCTAGCTACTTGTGGGTATGAAGACAGATAAAGCAATATTCAATATTATACCAAATGCATATTATATCCATGCAGACTATACAAGCATGCTATCAAAATAAACCATTTTCACGACTCCTACACATAAAGCCCTAAACTAACTTCAATACTAAATATACAGATTCCTGCAAAGAAGTGGGTCTTGGACTGGTTTCCAACCTGAGAATTTCAAGATAACAGTTACCAGTGGTAAGCAGAAATGGCTGGTATTTGATTTTGAGACGCTAAGCTGCCGTGTCCTCTCTGCTCATGTCAGCAATAGTACTATAAGGACTGCAAGGTTTACAGTTATTCTGTTCAAACACAGTCCTTTTCTAAAGCCCCATTCTAAGGGGAAGCCAAGTACACCACACACAAAGCAGTGTTTGATATAAAAGGGTTTAAAGAGAGCTAGGTTAAGTTTTGGTATGAATTTTCATTCTATCCTAAATATTATTATTCTAGCCTGTCCATATCTTTTTCATATGTAAATCTGAGAACTAAGAGTACAGATTTGGAGATCAGATTTAGAAAACATCCCTGCAGGGATACATTCCTTTTAAGACTGATTATTAGGGCTCCCCCCCTGCAGAGACCCAGTAGTCTAACTCAGCCTGGCTATACTTTTGTCCTGAAAGGAATTAAGGACTATAGCAGGTTTCCACCTCTCTTCCTGAGACCATTATGTGTAGATTAAATGGAAGCAGAGGTTTTTCCAAGTCTTAAATCTGGGCTTTCAACATGAAAGGATGGAGTGTTTAAATATTTAAATACTATTACTGAAGGTTAACTTGAGGTAAATTGCACTTAGGCTATAACCTAATGAAGAGTTTTTTTTTTGTTGTTATTCTAAGGGACAATACAAAAATTTAAAAAAGGATTTACATCACGAACTATAAAGAGGTCTTTTAATTTTGGCATTGTTGGGATTTGAACTCGGGCACTTAGTTAGGAGGCAGGTGCTCTACCACTTGAGCCACACCTTCAGCCAGAAACTATAAAGATTATTAACAAGAACAGAGCATCCTCTGATGCTATCCACAAAAAATAGAATCCTGGGCTGATAGAGAGGTCCTACACATCACCTGTTAAGCCGGGGCTAGGAAGCGAAGGCTAACTGGGTAGAGTCAGGTAGAAGAGTTAGCAGGAATAAGAGCAGCCAAGAGTAACACTGATACCAGTCATGGAGAAATTTGTACTTCAGCTTTTCCAAAAATGAAACTGAAAAGCCTATTACTTCTTTTTTTTTAACTATTTCTAAGACCATAATAAAAGACTTACTGAACATGTATCAGCAGTTATCTTTCTTCTTTGCATTTCTTTGCATAACTTTGTCTCTCAAATATCACACACTCTTGAGTCAAACTACTGCTAACCCTGTGCACCTGCCACCCCAAACGAGGTTAAAAAAAAAAAATCAAATGAACTTTGTAAGCCAGAATGCATCACTATCTTTATTTACAAGACAGATACAGCTATTATCCTCTCTGTATGTCTTTTGCAACTAATTCCCAAAGCTGTCCATGATCACTGGCTCTGCATGAGTAGCTTTTGGCCTTTCCCTGCCAAGTCTCACTAGGACTTCACAACTTCAAAGCTGCAAGAGACTTACTGAATTTAAGCAGTAAGAATTTTTCCTGGTCTCAAGATCACAGCTCAAATCTTTGTTTTTCTGCAGAGAGATGGTCTCACTGAAGTTAGAAAGTCACCTGAAACCCTGGGTCAAGGATCAATTTTCCATAGATCTTAATTGGGTACCTACACCAAGGAGAAGGCCTTCTGCAGTCCATCCAGGGCCAACTGATCATGTGCTAAAGCAATGCAGGGCCAGCAGACTTCACAGAGCTAAACTCCAGAAATTAGAGGAGTTTGTGTGTCTTCCCAGCAGCCATTTAAAAATCTATCTTTTCACAGTATTTCTAATGGATCTGACACCACAAGACTACTAGAACTGTTTCTAAGTAGTCCCCAGTACATGCACCTGTCTCCCTTTTAAATAGGGTTCTGTGACTTGACACCAGAACCTCATACTACTCCAAAGAGCCTCTGATCACCAAAACTTAAATATGCCGAATTTAAGCTTAACAGTGTTAGATCCTGTTATACTTTTAAAAGTGCATTTATACAAGACCACAATCACAACATCAAAGGCCCACACATTATCAAGTTACAGGTTTTGTCACTAGACCAAACCAGAATAATTTTGAAAATTAACTGCTTAACAAAACATTAAAAAAAAAAAAGAAAAAAAGAAAAAGAAAAAAAAAAAAAGGAAAATAGTTATTCTGTAGGATACATCAGGTATGACTCCTTTAATCTTGGCCATCATTCAACTTCATCTTGACCTTTAACTCTTTTAGTGCTTGTCAGAAGGACTTGTCATGAGATGCTTGGCCAAATATGACAGATGGCTTTATCTTTAACTTTGAAAAACAACCTTTTCCCCCTCTGTAGATAAAGCGAGGCTTTGTCTCCCATTAGGCTTGTCCTTCTTCCAGCTTTTCTTTATTTTTTCTTTTCCCAAACTCTCCCTTCTCTTCAAGCCTGATCCTTAAGAGGTCTTTGGCTTGTCTACTTGCCTTAAGTGTTGAACTCTACTCTAAAGGTTCTTTCATGCTTTCTCTTTGGGGTCTCCATAACTGTACAGCTTTACATTCTGAGGTAACAACAGAGGACAGCAAATTAGGGGACAATATTAAAGAAGTTTACCTCATTGTTATACAATTTGTTTTTGATTAAGTGATTCAAATTAACAAACAAGAATACTAAACTTTAATTGCTAAGCACAAGAACATATTAACTTTTAATTTGACTTACATTTAAGGTAGTAGCAACCAGAGTGCATTCAAATTTAAATCACATATTATAATCATTGATTTGAGTTTCAGCAGCATGGATGAAAATTTAAATATTTAACCATTTTTGGATTAACTTTAAGAAATAGAGCAATGTGAGTCAGAATTAATTTTCAAAAATTTGAAGACATAGACATTTGTTAGAGGACAAAAACAAACTACTTCTTAGATGTTACCACTTACATAAACTTGAAATTCAAACTTCAACACCCCTCACTAATCAGCCATCTGAAGAAAGGATATTGAACATAAGCAAATCCTCTTGGACGTCGAGTGTAGAAATCAAGTGGAACATACACATCAACTATAGGACCATAACGACCAAATTCACGCCGTAAATCTTCAGACCTAAAACGTCATAGTAAGAATTCAAATTTCTAGGTTCAGACTCTTAAAATTAAGAGATTTTTCTTTTCTTTCTTTTATTTGCGGTACTGGGGTTTGAGAATTTGGGGCCTTGCACTTGCTAGGCAGGTGCTCTACCTTTGAGCCACACCCCTAAACCCCAAAGAGTTTCTTTATATGCAATAATTATTTCTTGGTAAGATCTTAAACAATGAAAGGAACTGTGATTAATAACAGTGTGACCCATGGTTCCCGCTGTATTCCTGTCATGGTTGACCTGAAACTGAGGAGCTATCTAAATCTCTACATTATCACAACCAACTAAGAACACAGAAAAAGCTGGGCGCTGATCACTCCTGCAATCCCCGCCAGAGATCAAAGGGTTCGAAGCCAGCCCAGGGAAACAGTTTTCCAGACCCTATCTCAAAAATATTCAATACAAAAATAGGCTGGCAGAGGGGCTCAAGTGGTAGAGTGCCTGCCGAACAAGCATGAAGCTGAGTTTAAACCCCAGTACCACCACCAAAATAAAATAAAAACAAAAAATATGTAAACTATACAGAGAAATATAAAATAGTAATACATCTTTCTGACCAAGGAAAGGTAGACTCCTAGAACCTGGAAGATTGAATGCTTGCAATCCCAGCACCCAGCACTTTGGAGGCTGAAGCAGAATTGCAAGTTCAAGGCCAGCTTGGGAAATATAGCTAGACCCTGTCTCAACAAACAACAAAAAATGCAGTTTCTAATACCATTTTACATATGTAAGGTATAATTATATATGGGAATAATTTTAAAAAACCAGCCTTCATTTTTCATTAAAGGTACAGCAGCATTAGATTGCATTTTTTCCATAGCATCAAACAAACTCTACCACTCTGAGTTTACCAGTATTTTTACCTCAATATTGTGCCGACAGGGTCAGAAATACTAGGTAGATAAGGTCTGAAAAGTTAAAACCACAAATATGTCTAACTCCTTAAGTATCAACATGACAAAGAAGAAATTTTTCCAGACGCTGAACAGATTACTATTGCCTTTTCTTTTACTTAATGCTAGGACCGAAGAAAGTAAAACACAAAGCTAACCAAAAACAAAACACTCCTGATTTTTTTTGTTTGCCGATATGTGAAATGTGAAGCCTCATCATGTGAGACCTTGTAAAAATTGTGAAAGCAATTCGAAGTAAGGGAACTGCTGAAAACAAAGCCTATTTAAAGGTATGGTCTCAATTAACCTAATTCAGCTACCAACGTCCTAATGGAAGCGACTTCCTCTACCCGCCTTTCTCAAAGGATAGCCAGAATTTCAGGGAAATGGGAAGAACACCTCCATTTATCAGGAAAAATCTTTAATTTCTCAAATCTCAACAATCCTCCCCACCCCTATCTCCAACGGATTACACATCATTAATATAACGGCCAAAAAAGGAAAACCGGGTAGCAAACGCTTTTGCACCTTCCTCTCCCTCAGTCCCATTATTTCACTGCAATATCTATTTTCTTTTAACTGGAAAAAAATTTTCAGGGCGAGGGGGCGTGCACGCTGCATGCAGAACGTGGATTGAGATCAATGGGGAGCGGACGTCTAGCTGCGCCACGAGGACGCAGGGAAGAAGGCCGCGAAAACCCGCCCGCGGCGGGCCCGACTCGGCCCGGCCCAGCTCGACTCGGGCGCCGCCCTGGCTCCCGCGCAGCAGCCGAGACCCGCGGCGCGGCCTGGCTCCGGCGCGGGACCCGCCATCTTCGCCCCGCCCCTCCCCCGGCCCGGCGCCGCTCACTCCTCTCCGTGCGCCCGCGGCCTCCCCGTGCAGGCCCAGAGAACATGCCCTGTCCCTACCTGGTGTCGTCGGCTACGTTCCTGACGAACAGAGACGTGTTGGGGGGACGCAGGTAGCGGGACATGACGGCACCGTGAGTTTCGGCCAGGGGCACTAACGGGCTCAGCAAACCGTCCGCGACTCCCGGCGGCGGCTTCTCAGACGCACACAGCCAGAGGGCTCCGCTACGGCAACTGCCTCCTCTCGCGAGACTTCACTCCCGCCTCCAATGCCCCCCTCCTCCTCCGTACAACACCGGCAACGGCTTTTCCCGCGAGATCACCAGTCGCGCGCCTGCGCACCCTGAGAGGGGGAGCGCGCGCGGCAGCGTAGGTCCCGTTCATTGGTTTCCTGCACGGCCCTCTTCCCCTCCCCCCGTCTGCTCTTTCTTTCTTTCGCGCTTCATTTTCCCGCTCTTCTGCCTTGCGATCCACCCTCCTTCTAGCCCAGATCAGCAAGCGGATGTTTTAACCCCTACGCCGACCTTTACAGTTGTTACTAAGTAGCCTGGTTTTTTAGCATTAAAACCCAGAGGGACTGTTCTACAATTCCCTGTCTGGTCTAAGTGATGCCCAGGCAAGAGAAGACTGGAGAGTTTCAGCTGAGTGTGAAAGGGAAGGAGTTGTGCAGAAAGCTGGGCCTGTCCCTCGATACTGTTCCCAGGGCGCGGGCACACTCCCTACGCCTCTTTCCGCTGCCCACTTCTCTGTCTTCTTCCTGATGAAGGGCCGGGACCAAACGTCACATTTTAGTGTCTGCTAGGTTTAAAAGTGTATTTGCTGCTAATGGCTTCCTAGCTATGCAGTTCCTGTATTGCAGTGGTTCTTAAATTTTTGGTCTCAGAACCCTTTTACACTTACAGATTAACAGGTTATAGAAGCCCTAAAAGAGGTGGTGTTTGGTGTTTTACCATGCTGGGAATGGAAACCAGGGCCTTATGCATGCTAAGTAAGCGCTTTACCAAAGAGCTACACACACACACCACCTTTGAATATGGGTTATATCTATTAACTGTGTACTGACTTTGAACTTTAAAATGGAGAAAACTTTTAAGACAAGGCACAAACACATATTCCACCATACTTCATCAAGCATCCTGTCAAGCCTTTGGAAAACTCCACTCTACGGCGGAGAGGATGTGCATGAAAAAAGGAAATTATTACCAGAGTCCCTGGACCGTGAGTTCTGGCTCTGGGTCTGAACGTGACCCACATTAAGATAAAATAAGATAACATATGGAGAAATGAATTTATTTACAATTTTGGTCAAAACCGGGGAGAGGGATATTCCTAATCTGTCACTGCCTTATGCATAGCAATGCTACAAGTTACAGAAAAGATGAAGCAGAAGCCAGGAGACATGCATATGGAGATTTAGCTGTGGGTCCCAGTTACCAGAACTGGGCAATCAGGCTTTCTCACAGTGCCAGGAGCCAGGACTTTGGAGGTGGGCCATTTTCACAATAGGGTATTTACTATAGGGAACTGCAGGTGCAAAGGACAATTTTTGAAAGCATTCTAGTTCCCAGGCCAGTTAAATAATGTTTGATATAGTTTTCACCTTGGGGACCCCTTGAGATCCATTCATTGCCTGCTGTGTTAGAGATGATGAGCTCCTGTTAGAATGCCTGCCTCATATCCACAGGGCCAAGCAGATAGCAGGCACTCAAGTACTGTTTAACTAAATGAGCTTTTATTTTATGCAAAGGCCATAAAAGCATTATTTGTTCATCAGTCAGCATCCACAGCAATTAAGCAACTTGATACAGGTGGTGATGTTACAAGAGCTCCTGGCCACAGGCCTGGCTCTAGATCCAAATGCTCGCCTGCATTTAAACAAAATAACATGAACTATATAGAGAGAAATGAAAAAGTTTATTTATTTACAGCTTTGGCCAAAACTGGGAAGAGAAAAATTCTCAATCTGTCTCCACCTTGCTCACAGCAGTGGCACAATTTATAGGAACGATGAAATAGAAGCTCCAGGATATGTGCTGGGAAGATGGTCTTTCTTCTAAATCAGGGCTTCTATGGACAGACCATTTTCACACCCAGCATGGAATTAGAAGAACCCTAAATGCTATGCCCACCCCCCACACAATGAGAGTTGAGTGCTCTGTGGCTGACCTACTCTCTACATTTTGGGGGGGGCTTGAACTCAGGGCCTACACCTTGAGCTACTCCACCAGCCTTTGTGTGTGTGTGTGTGTGTGTGTGTGTGTGTGTGTGTGTGTGTGTGTGTGAGAGAGAGAGAGAGAGAGAGAGATGGGTTTTTCCAATATAGGATCTCGGCTTTGAACCCTGATGCTCCTGAGTAGCTAGGATTTGTTTCTACATTTATGTTTACCTAGAAGTTTAGTTTATTAAAACATTTATTGAGGGCTGGTGGAGTGGCCCAAGTGGTAAGAGCACCTGCCTAGCAGCATGAGGCCCTGAGTTCAAACCCCAGTACCACCAAAAATAAATAAATAAATAAAACAAATAAAAATCCATGTATTGATTTTCTATTATGTATTAGAGTTTGTGCTAGATTCTGGAAATTCAGTGATAAACAACGTGGAGCACCAGGCACCGGTGGCACAAGTCTGTATTTCCAGCTACTCAGGAGGCAGAGATCAGGAGGATTGGCGTTTGAAGGCAGCCTGGGCAAATAGTTCGAGAGACCCTATCTCGAAAAACTCTTCACAAAAATAGGGTTGGTGGAGTGGGTCCAAGGTGAAGGCCCTGAATTCAAGCCTTAGTACCGCAAAACAAAACAAAACAAAACATGGAGCTCATGTCTCCAGAGGGAGTAACAGAAAACAAGTAGTTGCTGATTTGTGAAGTGAAACAGCAATTTCATAGGTTTGTTATTGATGCTGCCTATTTTTGTTTTTAATCTAAAACAGAGGGTTGTCTGGGAAGGCCTTGCTGAGCAAGTGACTTTTCTGCCACTCTCAGTTACATATTTGTTAGCGACAAGAAAACACTCACACAAAGTACCTTAAGCAATGTAATTTCTTATACAGTCTGGTGGTACTCCAAGCACTCAGATTTAATGCAGTTGAAGGAGATAAGTCACTGGCTTGACTAACTGCACTTTGTCCCTCTTTGACTCTATATTTACCTCTTCAACTTTTTCCTTCTTTTAGATTCCAGGAGTGATAGGACTGATGGATAAATATCTTTAAGACAGGGACTGGAACTATTCCCAAGTAACAGCAAGCCTTGCAGGACGATTACTCCCAAAATGAGGGCCATTATCTGTGATGATGTGGCTGCATGAAGAGCAGAAGTTATCATATCATGGGAACCAGATTGCTTCCCCTCAAGTGATAACAACAATAACAACTTCTCCAGAACCCCTTGCAGAATCAGAACTGAGATAATGATCACTCAGACTTCTGGCCTGACCAAGATTCTCTGCTCCATCAGCTAAGCATACCCTAACCCCTTCCTTTGTTTGTTTTCTATAAAATACTGAAGTTCCTGTTAGCTCCTTGAAGACGGGCTTGGGTCACTGAACCTCTTTATCTGTTCTTCTCAATGTGGTCACATTGGTTAAATCTCCTTTCTCTGCCTATCACCACTACTCATCTCTTTTATTGATATATTGGGACAATGGCCAAGCCTAGGGTATTGGGGCTTCCAAAAGCTGGAGGCTTTTACCCTAAAACCTGGTAACAGGGTGAAGGTTTACAACAGTCTGATGCAGCATAGATACCGTATGAACGCAAAGAGGACTTACTGGTTACATAGTGTGTGGGGATGGAACAAAATGAAAATGCAAGGGCCTTGCTCAAAATTTATTAAGAATTTTCATGGCCAGGCACCCATGGCTCATGCCTGTAATCCTAGCTACTCAGGAGGCAGAGATCAAGAGGATCGAGGTTTGTGAGATCCTACCTTGAAAAATCTCAACACATACACACAAAAGGGCTGGTGGAATGACTCAAGGTGTAAGCCCTGAGTTCAAAACCCTGAGTTTAAAAAAAAAGAATTTCCATGACTGGGGTGCAGCTCAGTGGTGGTAGAGCTCCTGCTTAGCATGTGTGAGGCTGTGGGGTCCATTCATTCCAACATTAAAAAAAAAAAAAGAATTTCAAGATGTCAATAGAATACTAAGTAAGTGTAAGACCCTCTGAACTTGGGCCTGAACCACTGCTTCAGTAGCATGCCCATGAAGCCAGCTCTAAATGCTAGCAAGTGTAATCGTTACTCGTAATGCTTTGAGAAATAATAGGACCAGGTAAGATACAAATGTTTCCTCACTGGAATTGCTCTCTGCCTCACGCACAAAGTGCCCCTTTGGCCTTTTGTGCTTTAGGATCCCAGAACTTATAGGAAGATGAGGTGTGGGTATTGTTCTCAGAACCGCACGGAGAAGCCCCAAATACAGCATGGGCACCTAGATTTCCTGAACCCTGAGACAACTCTGTCTTGGTTTGTGGGTGAAGGCTCAGACACCGTACTCAGCAAGCTGCACTGCTGTTTGCTGGAAGGAGACTGCAGAGTTGAATTCCATGTGTCACATCGGTGGGATTATGAGGTCTCTGGAAGCAGAACCAAAGCCTTGACTTGATGCAGCAGGAATTTTACTGGTACAGTTGTTTAATTTAGATCAATTGTTTAATTCTGTCTTTGTGGGCAACCAACCAACAAAAAGCATGTTATTTACTTTGTTTACTGAGACATGTCTGGTGTTTTCTACACGTGTCTCGCCCTAGTGAGCTGGCAGTGAGCCGAGTTCCTCACGCTGAGGGCTCAGTGGTCTCCTGTAGACACTGTTTATGGTGCTTTTGGGGACATACCTGTCTATGCAAATATCAGCTTACCTATGTACAGGCTCCAGCTAATAATCCCCACCCCCACCAGCAGCCACTCGCTTTGTTGTCTAGGCTGGCTGAAGTGACCCTCTGCCTTAGTCTTCCCAAGTAGCTGGAACTACAGGTACGTACCACTGTGCCTGGCCCTTCAGTTATTTTTTAAAAGCTATTATATCAACCCATTTAATCCTCACACCAAACCTCTAAGCAACTTACTGTTCCTCTTTCCATTTTACAAAAGAGGGCTGGCGGAGTGGCTCAAGTGGTAGAGGGCCTGCCTAGTAAGCATGAGGCCCTGAGTTCAAACCCTAGTACTGCCAAAAAAAGAAAAATCATTTTATAAATGAGAAAACTGAGATTTACAGAGTGGTCTAAATAAATTTAAGAAT